TGCGCTAAGCTTTCATTTGTCCATTCCTCGATGTTCTCGGCCGCGTAATAAATGAAAACTCTACATGTTTCCGCCATCTCGGGGATGGTGCCCGCCCCAACATCCGTCGCATCTGTCGAGAGGGGACCAGAAATGATCATAAACTTGGTTTCAAGAAAATTCCACATTTCCACATTTCGAGATCTACTGAGTGTTCCGAAACCCGGTTAAGCTAAGCAAAATTAAGGCTCAACTACAGTTGATTCAATCGAGAGTTAGTCAAGAATAGTCCGCCGTCGTCTTCTTCAAAGCTCTTCATCCGACACACTTTACTCGAAATGGAAATGAATTCAGCAGTTCTTCTAATTCAAGAGGCTCCTCTTCGCAGTTTCTTCTTGGGACTCGATGCGCTACCTCAAGAGTGAGTGGGTCTGTGGCGCTGAATTCGGAGAGTCAGTTGGCTTGCTTGTGTCCCGATGGGGAACTTGGAAAAAGCAGATCCTCTCCTGCGGGTACATCAAGCCCATGATACCAGGAACTAATTGACCTTAAGCAAGTTTGTGAAAGCTAATCGGTACTTTCTAGTCACCTATTTTCGACCAAACATGGCAAAAAGTCAGCTTTTGTAGGCGATTTTGGAGTCGGGATTGGCGCATATTCGGCCGGCCTCGGTGGTTGGCAACCTAGAACCCGATGAAAATGGGAAAGTCTGCTAAAATGGCCTCGAATCGGTCATCCGATGAGGTGGAGGTGGGTCGGAGTTCTGCTTTGGCCTCTGGCAAGTTTGCATTTTTTCACTTTTAAATCCAGCTTTTCGGACGACTGTCTACCTTCTTCATTGCAGCTTTATCAACTCATCAGGTGTTATGTTGGGCACACTTTGTAAGGCTGTCCCTCAAAATGCAGGCTTTGGCCACGTTCCGTTTTTTTCGCTCATAAGCGACTGACGAAAATTCATCAACTTTTTGCCCTTTTTAAGGCTGCCTCCCGCCGGGACCGTAGAGGGGCACTCGGTACCGGTCATTTTCTCACCCATTCGTCGGACAAGAAGATGTTCCGGACATTTTCACGCTTGAACCCAACGGCGAGGCTGCTCTGCGTCATTGGGATTCACAGTTTTTCCGCCTGGAAATCACGCACGGCTTCGGCTGTTGCTAGTCTCTACGGTCAATTTGTCTACCGAGACTGGCCTGTAGATGTGTCCCTTTCGAGATGAATATGCTCTGGTTAAGAGGGACGACTACTCGTGGGTCACTTGGTGCTTTGATCTCATGTTGCTGGATCCGGCCTAGATTGACGACTGTGAAGGTTTGATCTGTCCATAGCTCTCTAATAGTGGGTAGTAGTGCTAATTCAGAGGTGGATGCATTGCTGTGTGCTGACATGCGTTTTTCAATAGAATATTTACTGTGAATGGTCGCAATTATCACGGGCCAATTTATTAAAGTTTCAACGCGCTTAAATTTCCCATAAACTCGCTTTCACACGTTTCTGCTACTCATTCGACAATTAGTAGTATATGTGATTGTGATGACAGATACAAATTTTCCTTGTTAGCACAAGTCCTAGTTTGAAAATTTGATTTTGGAAAGGCCTGGCTTTCCTTGTAAATCAGATACGCTCGAGCTCAAAACTGTGTTACAGCACTGGTTAAAAGAGTGTGAAATAGAGTGGCATCGTGAGAACTTCCATTCTCTTCATTATAACAGTATTTAAATGTCTGTTTCTACATCCCTGTATGCGACACAGGCTGAGTACATTTTTGGATCACAATATCTACATACAGTCTCGAAACTCGCTCACTTTAAAAATAGCATGTTTTGTTAGTTAGTTAATTTCATATCAGCATAAAATTCCAGATTGAAAATATCCACTTTTGCCTGATTGTTCGAAAGGCTGAAAAGTTAGTTGAGCTAAACACTAAGGAATTAGTGAAATGTCTAGCTATGCTAGTAAAGTTTATTTGGCTTTATCTCCCAATAGCCATCTGAAGGTTTTCAGGCTTTGTGTAGACTGATAGTTGGATATGCAAAGTGGCGAAAGTCCCCACTTCGTCACGTCGTCACGTCGTCACATGTGGACTGCACTAGGTCGCAGATTTGAGAAGATTTTCAAGACGAGCCGGCCTCTTCCAAATCACATTTTGAATTGTACCCAGTAGATCATGGGTAAGTTGTTGAGTCTGTTCATGAATCCTTACATGGCGTTTAAAGACCCAATAAGACTGGGCTGCTGTTTTCAACTGGCCTGAATCTCAGCAATCCCACCAGAGAGGCTGATGTGCTAGTCTCCGAGGCCTAATCTTTGGAATCAGAGTCCTGTTCGGGATGCTGACGAGAGTTGGGCGAGACCAAATTGTGGATGAGAAAACACTTTGAGGCCATAGGCCAGACCATAAACGTCTGTTTTGCCATGTCCCTACAACTATGCTTTCAGGGCTACCGATAGATCATGTATACCAGATGTATCCATCCTATTTCGTTTGGGGTGATAACGGGACTGGTAGTTGAAGCTACCCACATTAATATGAGTGGAAATGATGTTTCAATTGGATTTCACATAGCCTTACTTCCAAAAAGGTATTCTCATCCCGGAAGCGGTGGACTGCAGTTTGGAACTCGCGTCATCTGGTCTCCTCAACACCTCCGGTGGGACTGGAACCATGCCACGTTAGCCACAAAGTCACATTATAACGAGTGCCTTTGGGCCACAGGGCACATGTGAATTTCAAGGAAGGTCAGGCATTTTTTCATATCACATTTTATGATGAAATTGTCAACCGACATCGTGACTTATTTTTCGTTTTTAAAGTGGGCTTCCGAGTCTACCGGAAGATCAGATATATGAGATTATTCATCCTATTTCGTTTATGGTGGGAAAAGTTGGCTACAAGCCCCTTATCACCTTATACCTGCACTATTCGAATCTGTATAAATAAGCGAGTGGATGCCAAGGCTAAGTCAGGATTCGTCCAATCCCACTTCCTTCATCTTTCATTCTGTGACCGTCCAAGAGGGTGTTTAGTTGAGCTCTTCACAAGATACGAACTGATGGCCCTTAGTGAATCAAGTAAATCCACAGCCCATTTACTATTTGGTATGTGCGGAGGCCAACCCATTTCGATGAGACGCTAATCAACACTCGTCTCAATCGTCGGTTGCCATCAGATCTGGAGCCGATCTCAGTGGCTTTTTATCCAGGTTCATGTTCACCATTCCTGTCCCGCCTGTCACAGATTTTAATTGCATACTGGGACACCGTCCGACCAACTTAGCTCAAATGAGAATTCCTCCAAACTATCGTAAGCCCTTGAAAAGAGAGCTCGGTTTCCAAAGCTAATTGGGTACTGATGAGAGACTTTTGGGAAACACCATTTTAGTTCTATGTGAGGCTTTCCATCCATTTTTTGTAGGCGACTTCTCCATTTGACAAAAGTCGCCATCCACTGCCTCTGGAAGGGCTTTATCAGAGTTACATCGCCATCATACCTGCTGCCATCTCATGCCTACGCCTCATCATGAAGCATCTCGTTCTAGTCAATCACCTGCCGACTGGTCTGCTGCGTGAACGACAAAATTGCCCCTCGTACCACGAAGATTTGCACGCTCAAAGTACTTTCATTGAATTCCTTCACAGATTGAAGAGCTGTTTCATGCCTTTGTCGTCGACGCAAATCTCGCAAAACCCACGTTTGCGAAATCCCTACAAGAACGTCCGTTGTAAGCACAAATCAGTTATTGCCCCAAACCTGTTCAATACTTTCCATATTACAGTGTAAGACAGGAGCAAATTACAACAGATCGTAACACAAACTAGTTTCCAGTGATAGAACCAGTGTAGGTTAACTCAAGCTTTCATGAAGTTAGAATCGAGAAAAATCAGAAAAGTTGAGGTTTGCTTACGAACCGACTTTCAGCAATGATGATACTTGGGCAAGTCTGTGAGCTGTACACTTTCAGGCAAGTATGACTAAACTGAATATTGATATGGCTATTCCACTTGAAGTAACTTATAGTCTCCTTCCAAGGTATATGTGGCGGTAGCCTAGTTTCCTCGTCCTATAAACAGTTTGAATGATAATATTAATAATAATGATAGCAATACCAATAGCAATAAAAATAAAAATAGCAATAACAATATTAATAGCAATAGCAATATATTTATCAATTGCGGTATCGGTATCAACTTCAATTTCAATTACAACATCAATATCAATACCAGTATCAATACCGATATCAATACAATATCAACATCAATATCACAATCAAAATTGAATATGAATATCGTCATTAATTACAATTACAATAAAACTTTTAATTAAGATTACAATTACGCAATAAATGGTAATTATATTGACAGTAATAATGTCAATAATAGTGTCAATAACAATACCAGCTGCTATATCTATTCATTTCGTAATGACACTTGTTATTACAATTACAATTGTAAGAATATTACTATAAGTAGTTATAGTAGTATTAAACAGAATACTAATAGCTATAGGTGGAACTCATCTAAGGCCATAGGTACAAAAATGAATAACTGGGGTCAGATTTGGGCTCAAGGACACGCTATACCAATTACGCTTGTCCAGCTCTTCCGCCGTTTGCAGAGCGTTCTTTCGGGCGAACCTGGCGACTTCATTGCGCGGCCCTAAAGCGATCAAACCAATTAAGACGATTCCTCCAATACCAGCAGGCTTATACCTGCACACGCACGTGTTGGTTGGCGGTGGTAAAGTGCAGGAAAGTGCTGTAAAAGTCATGTAAACTAGTGAACGTGAATTCGCTGCATAATAAAGTCGTCTGCTAGCCCATTCAGGGTTACATCATCTCCATGACAATGGGTTAAAGAATAAGCCAGTGATGAGGTTGTCGGCCCTGAAGCAGGAAAATTTCCTTACGCCAATTGCTGGGGGGAAGCGCTTTAAAAACGAGGCTAAATTGGTACAGCTTCTGCGGACACGATGCTGCTGTTGGGGAGTAGGATCAGACGCAGGATGGCCTTCTTCTAGCGAGTCTAAATTGTGTTACGCGAAAAGCATCGGCCATTTATCAGTCCATTTGGTGGGTTCACATTACTACCTATGAGGTGGATGGATCAGAGGTACCAACAATCGGCAGTCGTCCAGATCGACGGGTTTTATTACTACGCAAGAATGCGTTTTTTTCCTGAAGCATAAAATAAAGTTGGATTTCGGGAAATCTATGTTTCATAATTGTTGAGCTTACTTCCATTTCGAGTAAAAGTGTTGGGGGGGAAGAGATTCGAAGGTTGGTTCCACCAGAAGACGACGGCGGATTCCGCTTGACCAGCTGTCAATTGGCTTTACTAGAAGATTCATGCTGACGCTGTTTCCGATGCAATCTCCTTCGATTCCGGTGAACCCGTGCTGAGCTTTCTTCTGCCATATGACGGACATCATCAGAGCGAGGTAACATCGTCACAACCAAATTCAAGCTGAGTCAAGAAAACTCACCGGCAAATCCCTAAAAAGTGGTATATATACTCTACCTCTGGCATCTTTGATCAAGTATAAAGTGATTAGGTTAGTTAAGGTCATATGTCAACTTCCATGCATGTGTATGTGTGTGTTTCGTGCATAAGCGAACACAAACAGGCACTTACAAATACAGCGACATACTCACTCACATGCATCGGCGTGGACATATGACCTTAGCTAACCAAATCACTTTATACTTGATCAAAGAGGTCAGATGTAGAGTATAGATACCACTTTTTATGGATTTGCCGGTGAGTTTGTTTGACTCTTTAGCTTGAATTTTGTTGTAACGGTGATAACTTGCTCTGATGATTTTCGCCAAGTGACGGACGAAAGCTTAGCACCTCTTCACCGGAATCGAAGGAGATTGCCTCGGAAACAGCGTCAGCATGA